TGAATACATTCTCATACTTCTGAAGCTCATACCATTCTAAGTCACAAACGTAACTATCTTATTATATTCCTTCCTTAATAAGCTCTGGTTATACATTGTTCCCTTGCTCTAGGAAGCTAATCCCTTCCGAAGTGGCTTACATTGGTGAAGCCAGCCGGTATTGGGAAAGTATTCCTAACACCTATATGCCCCAGATAGAGCCTCCGATGGAATTTAGTGCGGCGATTGTTTTTGTGACTTTCCGGCGTATCTCTGCGATGTGTTCCTTCCATTTTAGCTTTCGGTCCATGATGACCCCCAGGTACTTGCATGTAGTCTTAGCCGGGATAGTGATTCCCTGGGTTACGAGCGGCCTTTCAAAGTCGATGCGGCTGTGTGCTCGTGTGAAGTGTACTAGCTGGAACTTTTCTGGTGCGAATTTCGCGCCATGCATTTGTGCCCAATGGTAAGCCTTTTCTAGTGCTAGTTCAATCTTCTCACAGGTTTCGTCTGTGGAGTCACTGCACGCCAGGGTCGCGGCGTCGTCAATATATCCTACTGTTGTCACGTCCTCTACCCCGCACTCCTCTATAAGATCTGCATTGTAGAAAATATACAAGATGGGTGAGAGGGGTGAGCCCTGTGGGATACCAGTTTCAATCCGGTACTCCTCTGATTCATATCCGTCGAGCGCAATCCTGGTGCGCCTGCCGCTCAGAAAGCTCGCTATCCAGCGTACCATCGTTTCATCAACCTTCCGCTTCCGGAGGTTGTGTAAGAGCCGTTTGGAAGAGACACTTTCAAATGCCCCCATCACGTCCAGAAGGAGAAGGCTAGCCACTCTCACCTTGCCTTTATTCCATGTTTCGTAAATACGTTCGATTATCGCGTGTAGCGCATGTTCTGTAGACCGCAGCTTCCGGCCTCCGACATGTCGGCTGGGAAGCACCTGATATTTCTCTACCAGAAAGCTGAGTCGCCGGGCGATGACTGTGTCCATGACCTTCCCGATCGTATTCAGAAGCGCGATCGGGCGGTACGCTTTAGGAATTGTATAGTCGTCCTTTCCAGGCTTTCGTAGTACCACTGTGGTCGCGTCCTGCTTAGCTGCCGCCACTACAAGGACCTCCGGAGACAGGAGTTCGGACTCCTCCCAGGACGGACTAACCTCAGAGCGATTCTGAGTACGCGCAAGCTAGCCACAAAGGCCATCAGATTTATGGAACAGACAAGGGTGTCCGTGGGTGAGGAGACCAACAACGCGCAGACGATGTCGAGCATTGGGGGGAGACTGTAGGTATGCAGACCGCGAAACACGAGGCGCAGCCTCTAGGAGCCTAAGTATCACGGTAATATTAGTAGAACAACGATTGTCAACAGGGCTGGCAAGCTTTTGAAGACAATTTTTGATGGATAAGGGGTGGATGGAAGGGACAGCTGGTTTTGTTTACTTTGAACAAAGCGAAGTGTGACTGTCAGTCTAAGCACATACCAAGTATCACGTGACATAAGCAAACGCTGGCTAGATAAGAGAGGAGAGCCAGGGGTAGGGGACAGGAGAACAACCATACAATCCATCAGTCAAGATAGCATATAATGAACTAAGCAGGTTTACGATCTCACTTATGCACCATTCATCGCTCCCGTGATCTTCCGCACAGACATTGACAGTTATGAGCCCGGTTAGCGACCAATACAGTACTATACGAAGCGAGAAGGTGCAGCAGCATGCACGACCTGCAGGGTAAGGCTAAAAAGACCTGCATAATCATTAAGCAGTACACCGCCAGAGCAATAACGATAAATACCGAGATATAGATACAACCTGAGTAAAGATGCCGGATCTTAAGCTCATCAACACTTTGCAAAAGCGAAAACTTGAAGCAATCATACCACACTCAACCCATCTATCAATTGGGCAGTCAACCGAGTTGAATAAGTTCCTGACAATCGTCATACAAACCATAGCAGATATGGCGAATACCATCAAAGTGAAGGAACAGCTAGTCATCCTCAAGACTCAGGATGATTGGGATAAGTGGATCGAACAACTGGAAGGGATGGTTACACCTACGCTATGGACGAAATTCATAGACCCAGACTCAACCAATCCACCAGCCATACCAACCCTCGACATGGAGGAACCAATCGAGTCAGCATACTCGGCCACCTATACCACCGCGGTTAGCAGGGCAGAGGAGGAGCAGGTCGAGCCGCCTGAGTATAATCGAGTCCAATACAACCTCACAAACAAAGAGAGAGAGGAATTCAGGTTCGACCTGGAGATCTTCACTCGCAAGGACCTACCCAAATTCAAAGCTGAAGAACGAGAATACATGGAAGCAGCTCAGGTCATCCGACAGACATGCGATGATACAGCCAAACTATACTTGAAGGCAAAAGACCCGCTCCGTACACAAGTTCAGAAATTGCGAGATGTCTATCGAGGCGATCCAGCTCTACGAAAGCGACGCGCGAGGGAGGCGTACAACACCGCAATCAGGACGCCGGTGACGGCGAAGACAATTACATCTTGGGTATCTAAGTGGCAGGAGGCAATGCTTCAAGCTGAAGCAGTTGACCTACCACATGCACTAGACTATGAGCAGTGGTCGAGTGACCTACTGGCTGCAGTTGGTGATCTGGTCCCGAGCACAGTAACTCGGATCCTCCAGACCACAGCTGGAAATGGTGATCTTAAGACATACCGCGATGTGGTGCAGGCTATTCAATCAGAGTACAGCATTCGGCATTCTGTAAGACCTGCCCAATCTGGAGCAAGGCGTGGAGCGTTTGTGTCTGTAGCTGCTGAGGCTGAATCTGAAGGACCTGATCAATCCAAAGATCTGCCATCAAGACCTCAAACCAAGGCGGGTGGGAATGAGACAAAAAGACACCGATCAGGCACCGTTGGTGGCTGTTGGGGGTGTGGCCTGAAAGGTCACACACTCGAAGGCTGTTTCTTCGCGGAACCAAAGAAGAGGTCAGAAGAATGGAAGCCATTGGAGTTCAGACGAAGTATCTGGCTTCGAAACAAGAAAACCGAAAGGGTTATCAGAGAATTAAAGAGACTCGGAATGCCTATGCCACCTGATGATTAGTGCAAGGCACTGAGATCAGTCGAAGACAGTAGGGCAGATAGGTGACTAACCGTACAGCCTTGACCTAGATATAGAACAGGCATGAGCTTTACGGTCTGACCAGCCCCAGGTCTGAGACAAGCAGTACTACTGGACTCAGCCAGTACAGACCATGGGGCCAATGATCTTGAGTACCTAACAGATTACCACCAGCTGAGCGAGCCAGAGTACCTTCTTGGGGGTGGCGGTTACATCGAGATCAAAGGCTATGGTACTGTAAGAATACCCACGTCCAGCGGCAAGTATCTCAGTTTAAAGGGAGTGGCTTACTGCCCAGATATGCCAACAAATTTAGCATCACTGAGAAAGCTGATGAGCGCAGGCATCTACTTTGACAGCTACAGAATGATGATGCTTCGACGGGCAAATGGATCAAGCGTCCATAGGGTAGCTGACAAACATGACTAGTTCGTGATTTATGAATTCCATCTTCTTGAGGACCAACTAGAGGGTACTCAAGGTACAGCATTTAAGACCCAACATCAGGGGAATACGCGACCAGTTTCAACAGCAGAAGGACATTTATGGCACCTTTCGATGAGTCATGCAGGTATACAAGCGCTTGAGCGACTTGAGACAGCGACCCGGAATGCAAAGATTCGGGGTCCGGTGACAGCTGAATGCGAGGCATGTGCGCTATCAAAGATAAGTGCACAGATATCAAGGGCAGAACCTGAAGCACCACCAACACATCCATTTGACGAGGTCTCAGTGGATATGCACCCTATGCAAGGATATAGGATCTATTGAAGATACCTACTGATCATATGTAGAGACTTATGATTCACTATGCCATATATACTGACAACAGATAGCGCATGATCAATCTTAGAAGGCCTGATCGATGCATACTGTTATATCCGAACCCAGTTCAAGATCAAATGGCGCAAAGTACGCAGTGATAATAAACTCATGGCAGATATCATTCAGACATAGTTTCGAGCTCAGGGTGTTAAATTTGAGCCTTCTGCACCAAACACACAGGCACAGAATGGTTAGCAGAACGCTCAGGGGTTGTAATTGGTGAGATGGCTCGAAACATGAGGATCCATGCGAACCTGCCTGAGGAACACTGGCTTGCATATATCGAAGCAGCATGTTACATCCATAATCGTCTTCCAAGAGCTCAGAACTAATGGATGACCCCATATGAACTGATGTACAACATGCAAAGGATCAACCTTGGACTGCAAGGAGAATGGATCAAACCGTCCATCAGCCATATGCGAGCGTATGGATGCAAGGCATACGTCATGATCGCAGACGTACGGAAGAAGACACGCAAACTGTTTTATAAGCTTAATCTGAGGGCGGATATCGGGTCCCTAATTGGGTATACTGCCTTGAACATCTATCAAATCTTGATACCCTACTCCAACAAAATCAAGCTGGTCCGAGACGTGATCTTTGATGAGTCTCAATTCTTTGATGGCAGGATTGAGAAGCTTGACCCACAAACTGAGCAAGAGCTCAATGATGTCATTGAGGAGGTTGGGATACCTGATCAAGACGTCTTCAATAGCATTTGGCAACTGCCTAATGGCTGGATAGATCGGGTACCATCGGATGTGAATACCGAGGACTCAGACCCGCTAAGTCAACTGATAGCTGGACTACAACAGATACAACCAAGTGAATCAGTCAGCAGTGCAGGAAGCATTTTCAGCCAAGACACACTATCAGTCGCCAATTCGGAAAGCACCGCACCTACAATCTACACCGGAAGGAGAGAATGAGGCTGAGCGAGCGTTTGAGCATGTTGAGCATAATACCCTCCGAGGAAGCTTTTATGCCGGGCGGATGATAGGCAAGAAAGATATCGCCTCAAGAATAGCTATACTCACTTGGGACGATGATGAGGATCAAAAGACCTCAGATGCCCAGGCTCCACTGATCAAGGATTTACCACCTGTACCAAGAAACCGACGAGAGATGCTCAGACACCGATTTGCAAAAGAATTCCAGCGAGAAGAGGCTGAACACCTGCAGACTCACCAGCAGGCAGATAGCTTCATTGAGGTGCCGAAAGACTCAGCAAAGGAGAGCGTGAAGCTGGGCAGCATATGGGTCTACAGCTATAAACCTGATCAGGACGGTCGGCTAGCCACGTTCAAAGCGAGACTAGTAATTCGAGGTGATATGGAACCGAAGACAGCAGAAGATGTGTATACAGCCACATTGGCAGCACGATCATTTCAAGTTCTGATGGCCATGACGGCAAAGTATGATCTGGAGACTGCTCAGATGGATGCTGTGAATGCATTTATGAACGCAAGTCTGGACCGAACTGTGTTCATGTATCCACCAGAAGGCTATGCACGGCCAGGAACGGTTTATCGGCGACTCGAGGCCTCTAGAGGACTATGTATGCACGATAGAACGATTGAACTCCAAGAATTTAGGTTCTCGCTGTTGTTGTTCCCCTAATCTTCTCTCTGTTTGCTTTCTATAAAAGATCAGAGTGTTACGAAGTAACACGTGAGGGAACACGTGAGGCGCTCATTGGGATCATTCTGCAAGAATGAGCCGGATGAGCTCGTTGTCCAATCACAGGAATCTTATATATTCTTGATTGGAGGAAAGGCTCATTCCGTCCATATTCAAGAAATGAGCAAGGCAACAAGGAACTACAGTCTTTGGTCTATAAAAATATCCTGTCTCTACCTCATTTACGGCTCTCTGTAATTCAACTGTCTAGTTTACCTAGTAGTTAGTTGAATACATTCTCTTATCTTGAAGCTCATACAATTCTAAACCATAAATATAACTATCTTATTATACTTCCTTCCATAATAAGCTCTAGTTATACCTTGTTCCTTTGCTCTAGGAAGCTCATCCCTTCCGAAGTGGTTCACATTAGTGAAGCTAGTCGGTATTGGGAAAGTATTCCTAACACAGAGCCTTTAAGCTCTTCTACTCGCTGTTGTTCAACTGTTTAGTATATCTAGTTTCTCAGTTGAATCTTACCAATATCTAAAGCTAGGTTACTTTTAGCTACAAAACTTTCTCATCTTATTGATTATGCCTTTCTTCAATAAGTTCTGGGAATACCGTTGCCTCGTCGCTCTAGGAAGCTTATCCCCTCCGAAGTAGCCTGCGTTTGCAAAGCTAGTCGGTATTGGGAAGATATTCCTAACACCTCCCTCTCTCGACATCGTGCCATTTATAAAAACGGCAGTGTGCGGCTATTGATTAAGTCACTTCCGTCATCTCTTTCGACTCTATCTCAAACTCTTTCTTTCCCACACGACTATTAAGCATTTTTGTACTTGCTTCGTGTTACCTACCAACTGGGTAACTTACCGTCCTAATTTTCAGTTTGCCGTGTGTTGCACTGTTACCTAGCTTGGTTAGCCAACAGTGCAACAATTAGTTCTAGACCTTTACACGGCATGTGGGCGAGGACACAGTTTCACGTCCAACAAGCACTCGCTATGTTAGCTATCTTAAAATCAATGTCCATTCATATAGTCGCGGTTGAAATATCCTGGAAGCTATTGACGTAAGATGAAGTCTCTCCATTCAAGGAAAATATTTCTCTTGACTTACGAAGCTGAGGAGAACAGAGTTTCGCAGTTCCAAGCGTTTCTTCTACACAAACAAGCAAGAACACAGTGGAATACAGATGATCCACATTACAGTTGTGCACTTAATTTCTAAAATGAGGTTCACGCCGTTGAGAGTCTAATCAGTTCTACCGAATTGTTTCTAGCAGTACATCTGTTGTTGAATCGACTTTGTCTCTCGTTCACGGGTTGGGGCATCGATCTCGTAAACCAAAAAGCTCCAGCGGCAAATGCCGTTGTGGCGAGACATTCGGATGCTACAAGGTACAGTATCTGGTGATTCTAGCCTTCACGCTAATTACTCACCAACCCACAATTGGCTTGGTCAAGATTGAAAGCCTCGGTTCCAGACAAATGATCAGAACGTCACCGAGGAAAAACGACATCAATTTAACGTAAGGTCCTATAATATCGCTGCCGTGGGCCAAATCATTTCATCTTCCCATAAAGCTCGCGATGGTAACTAATCCGACATGGGTGCAGGCCCTCAAAGAGTCTGGAAGACCCGGAAGTAAATGCCTTGAGCTTGAAAGAGAGAAGTCAAACGTCAACGTCGACAAGCTTGCCTGTCTCTTGCACACCAACGCTGTGCTCGAGCGAAACAACAGACTCCTTAAGATTCTCCAAGACGATCCGGTGTTCGACAAATCGCAAAACTATTTCCGTGGCCGTGACGAGAGGATCAAAGCCGCACTCGCACGGGGAAAGCGATTGCGTCAACTCTCAGTCCAACACAACTGGACGAAAGAGGAGTACCATGCAGCCAACGAGCTGATTTCCGAGCCGACTCCCTATGGGCTGCACGCGAGCATGTTCCTTGTAACCTTGCGGGAACAAGGCACGCCCGAGCAGCACGAGCTTTTTCTGAAGAAGGCCGAGAATTACGAAATCATCGGCTGCTATGCGCAGACCGAGCTGGGCCACGGCTCCAACGTTCGCGGCTTGGAGACGACGGCTACATGGAATCCCGATAATCAGACGTTCACGTTGCATTCGCCGCACCTGACGGCGTCAAAGTGGTGGATTGGGTCTTTGGGAAAGGCAGCAAACTATGCTGTTGTGATGGCGCAGTTGATCATCAATGGAAAATCGTATGGGCCGCATCCCTTCGTCGTTCAAGTTCGGGACTTGAAGACCCATGAGCCACTGGAGAACATATATGTAGGCGACATCGGACCAAAGTAAGTGACCTGGCCGTGGGATACGGTGCTTTTGCCTTGCTGAAAATGGACCGGCGTGTCTAACCACGTCGCTCTAGGTTTGGATACAACACGATGGACAACGGTTTCCTTCTTTTCAACCAAATAAAGATTCCACATGTCAACATGCTGGCGCGATTCTCGAGGGTTGATCCAAAGACGAGCAAATACATGCGCCCATCCAATCCGTCACTCGTCTATGGAACCCTTACATGGGTCCGCTCCAACATTGTCCTTCAGTCCGGTTCAGTGTTGGCCCGCGGTGTTACAATTGCCATCAGGTACTGCTCTGTGCGCCGGCAGTTCACCGACCGAGACGCCCCGGAAGACGAAGTAAAGGAGAATCAAGTCATCAACTACACCATGGTCCAGCAGCGCTTGTTTCCGCTATTGGCGGCCACGTTTGCTCTTCATTTTACCGGACGAGGAATGATTGCTCTGTATGATGCCAATCAGGCTGTGATGAACAAGAGAGAACGTGGAGGAGGCTCTGCAGACGTTGGCCAATTGTCGCGCGGACCAGGACCCGAAGAGCTTAACCCCGGGGCCGACCTCCTGGCGGACCTTCACGCAACTTCTTGTGCTTTGAAGGCACATGCATCTACTGTTGCTGGTGAAGGTTTAGAAACCTGTAGGAGAGCATGCGGTGGCCATGGCTACTCGTCATTCTCCGGGTTAGGTTCGTGGTACGCCGACTACCTACCAACATTGACTTGGGAAGGAGACAACTACATGCTTACCCAACAGGTCTCCCGCTATCTGTTGAAGTCGGCCAGGGCTGTTCTCGAAAACGCAAGCAAGAACGGAAATTTTGATGCAAACCTAGGAGACAACGACACCACTCGCATTCTCAAAAACTATCGCCGTCGCCAGGACATGGGCGCCGCATTCGACGTGCTTGGAAACGATGAGGAGCTTGTCGAAGCGTTCGCCTGGCGGACGGCATATCTGACGTTTGAAGCCTTGCGCCACCGCGATGAAGAAAAGCGTTCTTGGAACTCTCTGCTTGTGGACTTCTACCGCCTGTCGACGGCTCACGCGCAGTACATGGTTGTGAAGAACTTTTACGGAGCGCTCTTTTCATCGTCACTGCAATCGTCTCTTCCAAAACCAACCAAGGAAGTGCTTCACCAGCTCTTCCGCCTTTACTCCCTCCACACGCTGGAGCGGGAGGCCTCAGAGTTCTTCCAGAGCGCGGCCTGCACCGTGAGGCAGATTCAGCTAGCGAGGACCAAGAGCGTGCCGCAGCTCCTGGAGCAGATCAGGCCTCATGCCGTCCGTCTGGTGGACAGCTGGATGTTCCCGGATTGGCAACTCGACAGCAGCCTGGGTCGGTACGATGGCAATGTGTACGAGGACATGTTCAAGCGAGCAAGTGAGGACAATCCGTTGAACAAGGTCATCTTCGACCCGTATCCGGACAGTGATGTGCTGTTCAAGAAAGACGAGCGTAGCATTTCGAAGAGCAAATTGTAAACGACGAAGACGCAGGTCTTGCTTTGGATGTACATGGAAGAAAAGGAAAAGAAAAGAGATGCTAGACTGGCTAGCGCAAGCAGGAAATCTGTTATCGTTGGATGACCGATGAAAGAATCTGATATTGCGCATCTCCGCTGCTGACTATGAATTCCGTTACACAACAGCTCCATAATTCTGTCCCCGCGCGTGTGTCCGGCCAAGTGAGGTGCGGGCATCTACATCCTTCGTCCCGTGAGATAATGGAAGCTCTCGACGTGTTCAACCAGAAGCTCCCTTTTTTGACTCAATCATCTCCCTCCATCAATTCGGCAAGCTCTGCTTCTTCTTCTGCTGTAAGGAGGCTCTCCTTTTTCGTGTCGCCGGTTCCGTTCGCTTTCTTCTCTTCCGCTTCTTCCTTCGCCTTCTTGATATCCTCGCCCTTCAGGCCCCATGTGCGCACCGTACCATCGATGCTCACACTCACAGCTCGCCCCCTCTCCTCGTCCACCACGATCCCTGTGACCTCTTCAAAGTGTCCCTCGTACACGTGCAGCAGCCGTCCGGACCCTTTCTCCCATACACGCACGTTCTCGTCGCGACAAGCGGTGACTACAAGACCTCCCGCGTCGTAGATCGCAATTGCGCGTACAAAGTCAGGATGCCGAAGCACTGTGTCGGCTTTGAATCCGTCAGAGCGCGAAAGACACTTGGCCGTCTTGTCAGCGGACGCTGTCCAGAGATCGCCGTCGCTGTCAAATTTCAAGTCGTATATCGAGGTTTCGTGCGCGATCAGGGGATCAACTGGTCCCGATGGCGCCGTGGAGTCGGGGGCAGAGAACGATATTTCGTAGCTCGCTTCGGCGGAAATATGCCATCTTCTTATCTCGCGACTCGAGTCGCCACTGAAGATGATTGCAGCACCTCCGTCTTGGCTTTCCAGGACCAGAGCTTGCACGCCTCTCGAATGGCCCTTCAGAGTGTGTAGCTTGCGGCCAGAAAGTGCATCCCAAACTACGATGGTGGCATCGGCGGATCCTGAGATAACCAGTGGCGACTTGCTCATCGGGACGAAAAGGACTGTCTTGACGAAGTCCGTGTGACCCGAAAGGCTCATCACGGCATTTGGGCTATCTGGTGCACGGCGATGGCAATACACATTTTTGTCCCATGCGCCGGCGTACATCCACGTAGAACTGATTGCTAGACACGTTACTGGCGAAAACGCCACATGATATGTCTTGATCACTTCTCCGCTCTAAAGTACAATGACGCGTTAACTCCGCTCAAAGACAGCACAATGAACCAACAATGTTAGGGAAACTGTCTGGAGGAAGACGGTGGGAAGAAATTTTTCACCAGCATACGCACTTCGACGTTCACGTGTTTCACTTTGCCGGCTGCCTCAGCGACGTAGACGGAGCCGTCGTCCTCAGGTCCAACGGAGACAGCAAGCAACTTTGACGGAAGGCTTATTGGGTTTCCTCTCTTGTTTGTTTTTTTTGCGTCTTTCCTGGCTGCTTGCTCGAGCGACGCACTGGACTATCCTCGTTAGCCTTGGATGTAGATTCTCAAACGCCCGGACTCTTTTACACACGTGGTCTGGAAAAAATAGCCTGCGTTTCCGGATGTCGACATGACGTCTGGGCATGCACGTACAAATTATATATGAAGTAATCCACGCACACGCAAACTGACCCAGGGCGCGCTAACGCACGGACGCGGCACCGTTCAAGCAGCCACGTAGGAATCTGTTGAGTCACCCAGAAGGGAGTAGCGCATGATTACGTTATCCCGGCCAAGTGTATCGATGTCTGTGCGGAAGATCACGGGAGCGATGAATGGTGCATAAGTGAGATCGTAAACCTGCTTAGTTCATTATATGCTATCTTGACTGATGGATTGTATGGTTGTTCTCCTGTCCCCTACCCCTGGCTCTCCTCTCTTATCTAGCCAGCGTTTGCTTATGCCACGTGATACTTGGTATGTGCTTAGACTGACAAAGTGTGTCAGTGTGCTCAATGTATCGTCGATGTCTGATTTGGATTGATTGATCTCAAGCTATCCTGCCAGGTGTTCTCTCACACCCCCTGGGCACCTCTGCTATCCGGTAGTCACGGATCCTGAATAGGCAATACGCTAGCCTCATTCAGAGTCCACCTCTACTTACAAAGTGCGGAGTGCACGAGCTGGAGGAGGCGTAACGCTTGGGCCACATTTGCGGCGAGGAGATAAGGGAAGCTACGTCCGACTCCAGACTGGACGATGCCGTGATGCGGTACAATGGCCTGCCTGTCTGATCACCACTATCATCCGTCTCTATGCTTGATGGCTTAATTAGGTGGCTTCGGAGGCCTAATGTGAGCTCAGAACCTACCTATGGACCTTCTGTATCCACATCACAGTCTGTTTTTTCACGCCGTCTCACCTTTCATCTGCAAGACCTCCCCGCAACGTTCTGTGCAACACTCGTGTCTTGACTGACCGATACCGTGCTGTTGCGATCTGGCGCTTGCGTTGGCTATTCTGATACCGTGGCACGCTTTGCCATCAATATGACCAGTCTACTCAGCCTGTGCGATGAGCTGCTGCACGAGGTCTTCACCTTCGTCAACTTTCCAGATCTGTTTCGTCTCGCTGCTACATGCAGAACATTCAAGGCTTACATAAAGGGAAATAAGCTTCTATGGAAAGACATGTACTTGCAAAACTTCGTCAGCACTACCAAGTGATCCTCGTACGTATCGCGCAATATTGACATTTCACAGGATGAACCTCCGGCTTGGACTGAAGTGGATTGGGAGCTACGGCTGAAAGATATCACGCATCTTCAGAATATCCTGATGAGTGAAAATGAAGACGTAAAGGTAGTTGACATAAACACGTAGTTGGCAATCCTTGTAACGGCTGATCCGTCGCAGAGACGAAATCTCCGGCTTGTTGTCCAGTCTATCGTTGATTTGCTCCACCACGCGAACAAGATCCAGGCGCAGTCGCGAAACATAAGGTTCCTCCAGGAACAGTTCGAAAATCCTCTCAATCGAAACGTATTCCTCTCCTCGTCAGGACTTTATGGTTATGCCGCCGATGGCACGAAGAGAGCTGGCACGGAAGAGCAGCGTGCGGCTCCGACTGCCGCGGAAAGACAGCTGAGCGCCAAATTGCACGCATACTTTGGGACGAGCTATGAGATATTCGGTAGAACACGCTCCACCGCTGCGCATCCATACGCGAGATCCAAAGTGTATGACCTGCGAAACTACAACAATCGCAACTCATGGGGCCCGTACTTGGATGATCTATCGTTCAGGCCGGACTGGGAAAAGATTGAATCCATCATGATCGATCTTGGCTTCAACATGCGAAACTTCATCGATAGCCTGGACCACGGCAAAGGTGGTGATGGCGACATGTACGGAACTCCATTCTTTGGAATCACGCCCCAGAGCTATGTGCCAATCCAGGAGTTTGTATGCCCAGGAGTCAAGGCACTCGTAGAATCCGGCTCGTGGAAAGCGCGAAACAGGCAGGTCAAAGTTATGACGCAACAGCCTAGTATTCCGCTTGAAGCCCGAGATCCGTATGGCGTTTCTGGCACTTGGAGAAGAGTAAGCGTATAATATATGACCACGGTAGCAGCAAGTCAATGGTCGCTCAATTAACACAGATTGTATGTTTCCTCGACTATAACGATCTTTACGCCTTTAACTTTTTGAGTCCCGATCCAACGCCTGGCGAGATGCGAGAGCCCATAACCACGCAAGAGGCTATCAGATTGATCACAATGAAGATCAAAGTCAATAAGATCAGCGATCCGGGTGAAGGCGATAGGAAGGATATGCCCGTCGTGCACTTCACCGGCATGAGCAGGTCCATGCATGCTAGTTGGGACCCAAATGCGAATTCCAAGATCACAGGCTCGGTGCGAATGACGCAAAATGGTGACGTGCGTTGGGTTACACTGAGCATCTTCCATGGGTATGTCGGAGTGTTCTTTATTACGTACGATCTTTAGGCTAATCAATCAACGCTGTAGCGAAACGAGATGGAGATCCGAATGTATCCAGCTCGGAGGTATCAGAAGCGCGCGTGGAGTCATTGGAACGTGGTTTGACAAGAACTATGATCCGAATGGGCCGGCTGGTCCAACCGCATTCTGGAAGGTCTGCGAAGAAGATCAGGGTCATGTCTGGGAAGATGAAATAGACAGTGTCGAGGGCTGAGATGTTCAAATACTTATAAGCTTCACGTACTGAACACGGTGGAAAATTATATCTCTTCGCATACTATTTTCGGACCTGGCACATCATAAAGACTTCTAGATTCTATGAATTTGCTGGCTTTTTTTTCACGTGGATGAACCTACTTGATGAGATGATGACGCAAATGCTTAAGTTATGTTGATCACGCTTAGAGAGTTCGTCGCATCACAGTAATTATAATCGATCCTCTTCAGTTCTTGCATTTGTCTAGAAAGTCATGCGAGAGGAACATGGTCTGTTGAACACTGCGCAATTTCACCACGAGCCGGCTGAAGCAATTCCGCAGTCAGTCCTTATATCAAGATGTCGCTAATTGAACCTGACCATTTGGTGCGAGAAGGCAGGATTCGGCGATAAATCCGATTTGCATTCTACGTCGTTCCACGAAGCGTTTACGCCATTTAAATCTCCTTCTTGAATGTAGCCAACAACAGGAGGTCCAACGGGTCGCCGATTTATGACATCAATGCACGAAGTGCTTAATTTACAAAAGAGTTGCAGCAAACATTGCTTGCAGAGGAAAAATCACTAGCGCTATGTCGTCACTCGGGGAGACTTCTCGATCTATATAAACAGGAGACACATGTCTCGTCCTCAAAGACCGTACTGTATCGGATCCAAGCTTCCCCCTTGGACCTTCGCGCTTTTCGCTTCTCCATCAAATACAAACTCCGACATCAGCTTCCCGGTTGCGGGTGCGTTCTGGATGCCCCAGCATGTATGGCCAACCGCCAAGAAGAGGCCTTTGGTGCTTGTCTTCCCAATAAGCGGGCTTCCACCCGTGCTCAAATTGGGCAGATAACAAGCCTGTCTTGCCGTGACTTCGCCATGTCGCAGTTCATCGCTTATCGAGCCAACATAATCAACAACGTTCTGACACCTTTCCTCGTCCACCTCGACCAGATCCGTGGTCGCGGGCAAGGGGACGAGCCGATCACCTTCGCCGCAAGCGTACACTTCGTCGTTGGGCCGAGCGTATATCTCCGGCGTCACGTGTCTCGGTGCGGATTTTCTTGCGCCGGCTTGCGCGTAGAAGTTCTTGGGCAGTAATATCGACGTAAAAAGCGCGTACGCCGAGAGCGGTTCCGAGGGCCGGATTGTGACGCTGTGGGCGCGCACGGCGGAGATGGGCGCCGTCGGCCAGATGCGCGGCGTCCATGGCCCAGCTGAGAGGACTACCTCCGATGCTGAGAGCGTCCGAAGGGCGCCGTCGTCTTTGGACGTGAACGACACACTTTCGACTCTTCCGTCCGCCGACGTATTGATGGCCGTCGCAGACCCGTATACGATTTTTGCGCCCCGCTCCTGAGCCAGATCGGCCATTGCGGTCGTGAACAAGTATGGATGCACTTGTGCCGTCGTTGTCGGATCGCCCATCTCTTCGTACGCTATCGTGGATGCCGGATCTACCCAGTCCAAGTCCTTCGGCACCCCAGCTCGCTTCAAAAGACCAATCGCTTCCTTGGACCTCTTCTGTAGACTAACAAGATCCACACCGCTATTCGTAAGCCCTCCGTCTTCTGTTTTTGCCCTCTTGTCGTTGTTCCATTTCAAGCTCTCGTCTTCCAAAGGTCTTCCTCTCGCATCGATTTGCCCACAGTGCACAGTTCGGTATCCCCATCGTTCCGCACCACTATGCTCATCAGCCAGCTGCTTGTGTAATCGATGGCTCAGCGGCACAATTGCCGAAGGATATGCCCACAATGCGAGCAAACCACCAGCTTTGCCCGATGCCCCGCCAGCGATCCTTGTTGCCTCAAGAAGAGTGATGGAATGAATGGTGGGATTGAACTTCTGGTGGCGGGACAAGAAATACGCCGAGGTAGAGCCAATGATGCCGCCACCGATGATAACGATGTTTTTTTCCACAGACATTATTTCCTGTTATTTATAGGCGTCCAGTCTATCAGTAGCAAGTTTGCACTTTGCTAAGAACAATGCGAAGATACCTTAGTCGTTAGTCCCTGAAGCTACCTTGGGTGCTTTCAAATCTGGTGACGTCGAAGGCCTGAACGTGAACACCAAGTTCTTCCCTTCCTGGAATCGCCACCAAAAGGGTTACATAGCTCAGATGATATTGGAGCTAAGTATTCCATCCACTCTGTAATGATTCAACGGTCCTCTGCAAAATTTTGACATATACAGCGCATTGGAATTTCATCAAAAGTACATTTCCCTTTAGCGCTCTCGTATTGATCGCGCCGACCATCAGGAAGATCTCAGACTTTACAATGGCCAGTAAAAGTGGAATCCTTCCACATCGCCAACACGCTGAAATGATTACAGCGTGTACTCAGATTCACTTAACCTAGAAACTAAATTCTAAATTAATTTGATGCGCCTCGATGCATGGGACAGAAGTGGACCAAGAGTATAGAGGAGACCAAAAGTCGAGCCAGGTACAAGATTGGCTTCAAAGGTTTCTTTGATCGTGTTCAACAGATGTCATGCTTCGGATGGCGACATTAACAGTCCTCTGATTTTGCCAGGACATGTATCGGTACAATGCCATTCTCATTATCGCGATCTAGTCTATCGGTACTTACAGTTCACCCTCGAGCGAGCTGGTCTTATCCAATCTTGAGCACTGGGTTACATGCAGCCAGCAACAACACATATCTCTTCGCCTTACTTTATGCTCACACAAACAGTATAATCTCCACAAAAAGCCTGTAAATCAACCTCATTCTCCAAATTCGCACTTTTCATGTAACCTAGACCACTAAGGTCCAGACTTTGGCAATACTGTTAAGCCTTGACGATCACCGCCACGCTGTATAATCTATCTCATCACGACATCTCGATTGCTGACCCAGTATCGCAGCGTTCTGTGCCATTTGAACCAAAAAAAAAATTCGAGCCCACTTTGCTATTCTGGTTTGGTACTCGAGGTCATGGAGGTACAGCGAAAGAGTCGATAAGAACTCATGATATAGGAGGAAAATTGTTTGATTATGGATCTTGCTGATTCCAACGGTTCCAGGGCTTCAGGGACGGGTGATTTCTGCATGTAACGCCGTATTATCACTCTGAGGAAATGGAGATCATGACATACTACGTTTGAAACTTCATCATCATCATCCCGCAGCGCGTCGGCGCGCCTCGCATTTCCTTCACTGCGAGAATCCACAAGAGCTCCCGCTGCGATCCAAAGTGCTGAAAGTATTCCCTTAAGACCCACTGCGAATATAACATTGTCTGCGGACCGTACGTACCCATATGTGGCTTATGGCAGTATTCGACTGACCGACAAAGATCGTGCGCTAATTTCTCAGCAACCTCCTTGATCGTTCCTCTTTGCAATGCAACGTAATTGCCGCGGATGAATTCCTCGTCTTCAGAACCCGGAGAAACTGCGAGAAGATCGAGCACGGTAGAATAGGAATCGCCACTTGAACCTCTTCGCATGCTCAATCGCATTAAGCTCATGTAAATATGAAGCTGCAACGCCCACGAGACGATGAAGTAGCTAGCGACTTGCAGCGACCGAAATGTAAAGACAAACGGAAAGAGCTTGGAATGTTCCCCGTTGTCTGCAGGACTTGTGAGAAGAGCCGGCACAGTGGTGTAGAGCGCTGTGGGAGATGACTGGAGCAGATTTGATTGCAGCAAGCTTATTTTGGCAAGCGTATGAACCAATTTGTCAGTGATTTTCTGTATACAGGGCTCGAAAGAATTGTCTCTTATCAGCACATCTTCAATAGCCTCCAGCGTGTCCGGTAAGTCGCAACAAATATGCATAATCTTATCCAAAGGGTCTGTATCCGCATGCTCTGGGAGTACTTCCATCCATTGCGCTGCTGTCAGAGCTCCTTTCTGTCGCCGTATGAGTTGCGAAAGGACCTACAGAGCTTAGTTATTACGTTCGCCCTTTAGAATTTGTCACGTAAAATACATACGCTCATCACTCGCAGACGTGAGCAAAGCCTATACCATATACTGCTTGGCACTGGGGAAACCGCCTCGCTCTGCCTAAGACGGAGAACATCGGCGACACCCTGAACATGTGCGCGCCATCCTTCGTCTGTATAGAAGATAAAAAGCTGAGTGGCAAGTAAGAATTGAGGCTCAAAACACAAGTCACGGATGCAACATACCTCGCATATGGACAAGATAACGATGGAGGCTAAGATATATATGGGATTGTTGACTGCCTCTCTAGCCAGGGTATCTGACAGCATCCGCAATGCGCTATTATACGTTTCCACTGCTGTTTCATAGTCGATATGCCCAGTTTCAGTTGCGTACACCTGAGTGGTGCAGAAGGCGAGCAACGAGCGGTCGAGAACATCATTGGGCGCGCTCAACTCACAAGCGGCACTTATCCACGAGAAGGGGGTGGTGATGCGCAACAAGCCATCAACAGTTTCCGCACATGGCAGGTACAGCTTTTCTATCAACCTGTATGCGAGAAGTCGAAAAGTGACCGGGTTGCGCCGCCAGTCCGAGTAAAGTGTGTACAGTCGCTCTAGCTCGCTGGATGTGGAACTCCATGAATGCTTTGACATTGAACCTTCTGCAATGACCTCCGGGGCAGACAAATGAGGCCGATCTATGGTCCTGTTGACGAAGAGCGGGCTCTGATCGTATCCTAAGCATTTTCTGCCGGCTTTCGAGCATCTTCGGCATTCGGGGCGTTCAAGGCCACATTTCACCCTTCTCTTCTTGCAGTCCCAGCAAGCCCTGGATTTTCCCGGAACACCGACCATTTGCAATACGAGGCAGGAGTCAGTTGGACCTTTTATATCGAACAAATTCGCGCCAAAAGAAGCTTGTCACCGCAAGTAGCCTTGCCGAGTAAACCCTGCATGATGCGCAAGACATCAACGCCAACGGCAGCTCCACGCAGAGCCGTGCTTTTGGTTCAGACAGATCAAACCAGATGCTCCCGGAAGTTCCGAAGCGTGATTATTCAGAGCCCGTGAAGAAATAGGTCAGCGATCCGACGACTATCAGAGCGAGGCTCTGAAGCCCAAAAGCAGAACTTGAATTGGAACCTTTTTTCGAAAATGCCAGCCGGGGTTAAGGGGTACACCCTAGTCCGCAGTTCGAAAATTGATACCTAATTCGGCTACGTTTCGGCATCTCAGTAGGATCAGCGTTAACTCCGGCGCATCGTTTCCTAACCTCATCGTTGACGAAAGGTACGGAGCAAGGAAATAGGAGTTCTTGGACGTTGTGGTCATTTTATTGCATGCGAGGCTTTGAAATCCACGTTTTGCACTTTTTTATTAATCAAAATGGCTCCTTTTTGTATATAATGCTATGCGCCGTCCGCCGAGTTTGTCTTCCCGCTCACTTCCCAGTACCACCACCACTTGAGGCAAGCTCGTCGACGTTCGGCGCATCGCCGCTCATATTTATTCAATAACTAAATCCAGAGGGCTTGAAAAGAGGAAGAAAGAGAAGCGCAGAAATTTGTTTCCTTTGATTGTTCCATTTCTATCGTCAAAACCTCCGTTCAATTCGAGTCTATATAGTCTATACTTCGGATAACCCTATCCAAACAGCCTATCATATCGACCACATTAGACATGCCAGAGCAAAAATTCGAGACCACATCATCTACAGAATGCTCACTAGAGGATTTCCCAGCTTCGCAAACAGAACCGGCGGCGACAACTTTCGACCCTGAGAAAGCCACTTCGAGGACCTCGCCAGCCGCAGGACCTAGCCCGAACGACTTCCCGGATGGAGGGTGGGAAGCGTGGCTCGTAGTTTTCGGTGGCTTCTGCTCCATCTTTGCCAGCTTAGGCTGGATTAACTGTACGGGAGATTGGGTGATTCCAGCAAGACGTAGCAAGAGTCAGTTGCTGATGCTTTCTGCAGGTATAGGAATATTCCAAGACTACTACCTTACGCATCAGCTGTCGTCGTACTCCGCCAGCAACGTGGCCTGGATCCCCTCAACGGAGTCTTTCATGATGTTCTTCTGCGTATGCCCTCCCCTTGCAACTGTCCGCACTGCAACAGAGGGCGGCAAAGCTGAATCTGACTTCGCCGTACAGGCCCCTCTCGTGGGCAAGGCCACCGACCAGTGGGGGCCACGCATTCCTATGGCGATAGGCTCGTTCCTCCACATCTTCGGTCTGATGATGACATCGCTTTCGAGCAAGTACTACCAGTTTTTCCTGGCGCAATCCATTTTCAGCGCCATGGGCTGCAGCTTCCTCTTCTATCCTCGTAAGTTTACTCCGTCCATCACCCGCAACAGTTCGTTTCTACAGGCTTTGAATTTCACCATTGCTGATGGACACGCATAGCGATGACGGCATGCGCCACGTGGTTTCTCAGGCATCGAGCTCTTGCTATCGGAATAATGGTTACCGGCTCAAGTGTCGGCGGCGTGGTCCTCCCCATCATGGTCAACAGGCTAGTGAACCATCTTGGTTTCGGGTGGACCATGCGATCGCTAGCCTTCCTGCTTCTTGGCGTGGTTTTCGTCGCAAATTTGACAGTCAAGTCAAGGCTGCCGCCCTTGAAGCGGCCTTTCCTTCTAAAAGACTTTTTGGAGTCCTACAAGGAGCCGGAGTTCCTCCTGTTGACCATTGGCGCCTGGTTTGCGTACACTGGCGGCTTCCTTCCCTTCACTTTCATCGTTGTTCAGGCGAGAGCACAGGGTATGTCCGATTCTCTGGCCGGCTACCTGGTCTCAATTCTAAATGCAGCGTCAACATTCGGCCGCGTCCTCCCCGCATGGTATGGTGACAAGTACGGCGTGTTCAACATCATGATATTACTCACGACTTTGGGTGCAATCTCAAACCTGACCCTGTGGCTGCCCAGCACCACACTGGCTGCTGGCTCAACCAACGCACTTATCATCGTATTCACCGTCTTGTATGGTTTCGCTTCAGGCTGTTACTTCTCTATCTTGCCAGCGACGGTAGCGCAAATCTCGGACGTCCGAAAGCTGGGCGTGCGCACGGGAAGCTTGTACGTGGTGGCGTCGACGGGCGTGCTTTTTGGCAGCCCTATCGCAGGAGTCATTGCTTCTGGACGCGGCAATGGTTTCCTCGGTTTGACTCTGTTCTCGGGGCTGACGTTGCTTGTTGCTGTCGGATTCGTCATGCTCTCAAGATTCAAGCAGGTGGGCTTTAAGTTGTTAGTAAAGTGCTAGTTGTCTGCGACTGACTTTGTCGTGCCTTTTTCAACATTCTGGATTTTCCGGGTCGCAGATGGAAAGAAGCACAAGTACCGACAGATATTGTTGGTACAGGACATGCACAATAACGGCACAGTATTCGCGTGATTGCAACTGCTGAGGACCGTCTTCAAATCAAAATCGCAATGAAGAGCCGGCGACACCGCCTTAGACGACGCGCAGAGGGCCGTAACTAGTACGTCCACTGAGCCCTTCATCGCTGCTCCATTGCTATACAAAAGCGATCGGACATCGGGCGGTGTGCTCAAAAGCTCACAAAGCATGAATTGCGTAAGAGGAGATACGCCAACTTCAAGTAAAGCCGGAAAGTTATCGTCGACGCAAGAGACGGTTTGAATGAGGTGAACAAAAGTGTTATGACCATAACACGTGAAATACCAAAAACCATCATTATTGGTTCGGGAAAAAAGAACCAATTGAAAGTGCAGTAGAACTAGCGCTCATTAGGTCTTGGCATGAGCGCGCTCATGGTGCTCATAGGATGAGCAGGATGAGCACGAATTTCCTACATCTATAAAAACATCCTGTCCCTACCTCATTAACGGCTCTCTGTAGTTTAACTGTCTAGTTTACCTAGTAGTTAGTCTGAATACTCTCTCTTACTTGAAAGCTCATACTACCCTAAGTCATAAAGCTGAACTATTTTACTATCTCTCCTCTCTCAACAAGCCCTAGTTCTCTCTTGTTCCCTTTGCTCTAGAAGTGGCTTACGATAGTGAAACTAGTCGGTATAGGGAAAGTATTCCTAACAAAAAGACTTGCTACTTACAACTTGAAGGGAGCATCTCGTGCAAATTCCTGTAGCAGCTCTCCGCACCAATTCGTTTCGTGTCTAGAAAATTTATAAGAGGTAATAAGATACGTCTCGCATCGCAGGATATATGCATATGTTGTTAATTTAGAGTGACTTCCCCTCACCCTCGTCTAAATCCAGCCCCATTAAACTCAGTCATGTCCTTGATGTGCACTTGCAGCTCTTCAGCCTCTTTCCACCACCCTTGATCTACATATGTTAACGCCAGGTCAGCCATGTTGTTCAGCGTGGAAGGATGTTCCTCTCGTAGCACCCTCTTTCTCATGTTCTTCACAGGTAATTATAGCTTTTTGGCCTCATTTCACCGCCCTTAATGGCTGTATGTCAACACCAGGTCATTTATACTACTCAGCATGTCTGGATGCTCCTCCCCTAGCACCCTCTTTCTTATATCCTTTATATAGTCTATATTAGTAGCTCTTCGGCCTCCTTCCACCGCCCTTGATCCGTATTTTACCGCCAGGTTATTTATCCTGGTCAGCGTGTGTGGATGCTCCTCCCCTAGCAACCTCAAAGTTGTATCCTTAACATATACTCGCAGCTCTTAGGCCCCCCTCCAACGCCCTTGATAGCTATACATTGATCCCAGGTTATCCATACTAATTAGCGTATTTGGATGCTCCTCTCCTAGCATCCTCAACCATATATCCTTAACCTGTACTTGAAGCTCTTCGGCCTCCTTCAACACCCTTGATCTATATATGTTACTGCTAGGTTATTCATACTGATCAGCGTATCTAAATGCTCCTCCCCTAGTACCCTCTTTCTCATATTGTTGACATACACTTGCAGCTCTTCAGTCTCCTTCCAACGCCCTGGATCCCGATATGTGTCCGCCAATTGAGCCATGATGGTCAGTGTATTTATATCTTCATCCCCGAATTTCTTCGAAAACGTCTGTAAGACTTGTGCGTATAACACTTCGGCCTCTCTCCATTGTCCATCATTGGTTAGACTTGCAGCACATTTCCGTATCAGATGTACCTTGGCCTCTTTATCTTCCTTAACAAGTCGAATCTTCAACGTGTAAGTAGCGTGTGGCAATAGTCTTCTCCATGTCTTTCTGTTCCAGTGTTGGCTGTGAGGAAACGCCATATCCAGTTAGCCTACAGTGATTTTACTCCAGCGAGAAAGTAATTATTTCTTCTGAAGCCAGGTTAATGTTGCCAAATTTACAAGTTGATGTAACTAAATCTAATGCTGACTCAGCTGGCCGTCTAATGATCGTTGAATAATCTGCGAGCATTTTAATAGCATCCTTCTTAGCTTCGTCCGTTTGATCACTTGGTAGTAAAGTGATGGGAATATCTTTATGGTCTAGGCAAGCCATAATTGATAAATATTCATCCGCTAGCTTGTTTCGTGTTTGAATCTGGTTAAAGGATATAAGCCAAGGTGCGACAAAAGGATGCTTTCTATCATGGGTCTGCCATTCATCCCGAAGCTGTTAACTGATGAATTCGATAATGTTTTTATTCTGTGACTTTGATAGTTTCCGATAATCTTTGATAGCCAGATTGTTGATACTGATATAAGATGATGCTAACACAATAGCTAGGGGAAAGAATGCGAGCTCGTTCAGCAAGTATCCACTTGTTGCTGCTCGTTGGCTAAATCCCGATCTGATAAGTAGCTTTGGAATATTAATTGAGCTATCCCGGCATTAATCTCCAGTATCTTGATCACATTCTTCGGCGTTAACATATTGGCTGTTCCTTTTTTGCATGTTGTAAAGATGATGTACCCTTTCTCAGACTTTGGTAGATTGTTAATTAGCCCATCAGCTTCAGCTCTTTCAGTGGTCCATACGCCATCATCATGATCAGCATTGCCAAATATGAGACGCCACTGCCCATCACTCTTCTTACTTAAATTTAAGTTTACCAATTTCTTCGCATCCAGCTTCTCATCGTTCCATCCGGGAAATTTGTAGTTGCCAAGCAATTTGTTCATATCCCAGCTGAAGACTCGTCATATCATTGGCTGGTTATCAGAGTCTTAAGCAGTCTTTATATGTCTGTCTTGATCTGTAGGCTAGTTCAAGTGCTGTGTTTTTCCGATTCCACCGATTCCTGTGATTGCAATCTTGGTTGTCTGGCCCTTAACGAAAAGACCCTTTTGTAGTTCAGCGAGTTCGGATTCACGACCGGTGAAATGGTTATTTTTGCCAAATGGCACGATAAATGGAGCTGTTTTGGTCGGTTCAATTGCTAAGCGCAGTCTTCTCAGAGCTTCTGCCTTTCCTTCTCCATACATCGGTACCATTTTGACGCCGACTATGCCAAGAAGGCAGTACTGTAAGCACTGTCTTCTTCCTCTATTGTTGAGCTGTTGTCAGCCCATGCGATTCGCTCATCCACACTAAATTCCTCCAGTGGACGTCCGCGCAGAGCGTCAACTGGAATTTTGGTAATTCCATGAATGACTTGCTCTAAAGACTTTTTATCTCCAAGCCTCTCATATTTTGAAGAATAAAACTCCACGGATGTTGGCGCTATTAGCTCTTGCAATGTCCAGCCGCGAGTAAACCATCTGCTTCGACGAAGTAATTCTTTTAGTCTCCTGCAATGAACCATCCAATTCATTATTATATAGAAATGGAGGTTTTGAAATATCAGATAGGAGTGCGTAGCATTTCGACGCATTGCGGTAGTAGCGAAACATGGAGTTAATCTCAGCAGATAGCTCAATGACATTCCACTTATCGATGCAGCATGTGTCGACCCAGAAGTAAGTCAAGTTGTCGCGGGCTGCTTGCTGACCACAAAACTCAATCTTCTTGAAGCCAGCTTTGTCTCTGACAGTATTCCCATAAGGCCTTCATATGTGACTTCAACAGAAGAGCCTTTAGGATCCCAAGTATAAGACAGAATGGCATATGGTGGTATCTCGTTGCTGAATACTTTAGATTTCAGAGTTCCGGACGCGTCAAAGTATAGGAGTCTCATGGCTATGTTACGGTGTGGTGAAACTTCAAGACTGAAAGGCGAGCAGTGCAGTTTACACTTTCAAGCAAAAACGTGGAATGGAACGCCTCGGGAAGAGCTGTGCGGGGCTTTAAGTGCCGGTGATGATCAGGCTGAGCTGCCTCCGTTACACTTGCTCAAGGAGAAGCATGCACAGGGCTGTTCGTGGCATCGTTTAAAAATCCACATGATGGGGGGGCCTGACCTTCCCCTGTCAATTCTGCCCATGTCGGTTTGCCTCACTTTCCTGGAGAAGGGCAAAGAGAGACGGTTTTTGGCTGATCTGTTCTTTCAAAGGACAGGGCCGGAAGAAAAAAAATGAAACGCTCAAGTCGAACAGTTCGGGCGTGGGGTCCGCGTTTCCAGGTGCTCCAGTTCGACTTGGAAGGATCGTCTACCTGATTTTACTTGATTATGAGCGAATCCACAGCAAGGCAACAAAATCATGCCATACATGATTGGATCTTGACTGACCGGCTGGACCTTCGTGCCCGGCAATGCGAGTCACGAGTGAGGAGCAGGGCGTTTAGCCTGATGCCGTACTGTCCGATCAAACATATTACGTCCAGGCCGTTCGTCTGTGCATTCTCCCGGCGAGAGCCGATTGATACAACACGTAGTCCGCAAAAAAAAAAGCCCCCGGTATTGTCTCACCTCCATTGGTCATCCGTTGTGCGGAAACAAAGCAAGCAGAGACGGGATCCAGACGCAGATCGGCTGCGTAAGTGACGTGGGACGTTGCCCAAATGTAGCCAGGCTTGCGACACGGATGGGTCGCAACCTTTGGGCAGCGTTCAGATGACACGGCCAAGGAGGTTGCACGCGAGACAGATTCTCGAAAGCAAGGAGCAAATAGTCAGCCTTGCGCCTCCCGAAGCGAAGTGCAAGAGATCAGACCAAACGGACGCCTCTTTGGACTGTGCCAGCGCTTCCAAAAGCCTTCTTCTCAACATGCGAAGCCTACGTCGGCGCCAAGGCAGCTTCGTCAGCAAGCTTGCACCTCGTCTCTAAAACCGGCGCGCTAACAAGCCTGTACGGACGTGGCAGAGCTGGTAGGGAGGAAAATAGAGGCGCAATCGAAGCCCGATCCGGAGAAATTTTGTTCTCTACCACGGGTAGAACAGGTGTAGGATCGATCTAAGAGATGCAAAGGCTGGGGGAAATCGAGGCAGCAAAATGAGGAAGCAACAACAAAAACCCGGTCCAATTTGCCATATTTTGGACCTATCGATGTGGAATGCTTTGTACAAAGAGGCTGGCAAATACAATTTCCCACATCCCTTCCCCGCTTCTCCTTCCATCTTCATCTCCTTTCTCTTCCATCGCCTTCTCTCCAAGCTTTTTGCGTATAGGACACAGAAAAGATGCGACAAAGGACAAAGAAAAATGAAAGACTTGCTGAAGCATCACTTCAACACACAAGACACACATTAGTGGGCTATTAAAAATAAACATGGCTGTTGTACTAGCTACACTGGGTCCGGTCGATGTGTGTGTGCTTGTCTACTCTTCGTCGTCCTCTTCGGCATCTTCAAACTTCAGACCCGTTGAGGGCGACTGAATCATGCCAGGGCCCTTATAGCCTTCGGAAGAAATACCCGTGATGGGCTCCATCTTGTTCTTCTGTTCAGGTTGTTAGCCATCCGTATCATCTCATCACCATCTCCATCCCGTCCATATTGATAGCTAAATCAGCTGAATGATCAAAGCATGCATTCGTGTACAATCGTGCAAGTATACGCATGGACAGATGAAGAACAGGGAGCGAGCGGGTGGGGAGACGTGCCTTCATGAACTCGTTTGTCTTCTCCTGCCACTCCTTGCTCATAGTCTTTGGTGGTGGGCCGGCTGCGAGACGCGTAGCGTAGAACAGGGCGCCAGAGAGACCGAGCAGCAGGACGAGGCCTCGGATGATGCGGAGGCCCTCACCAGGGGGGATTTCTCGTCGAGGGCCGTGCGGGCCGAAGGCAATCCAATACGCTGTCATCTAGCATTAGTGGTAGGCTCGTTCATTGTGTGAGTGTAATTGCATGACTGAGCCTTTGTGCGTGCTCGTTTGGGGGGAAAAAAACGCTTGGCGCGTGTCTCTTCCACGAAGCCGGATACATCGGGTCCGATGCTCAAGCACGAGGCTGAAAGGCGTGCCATGCCATTGAGCATGCACATGACCTTTCAATGAAGATGGGGGATGGACAGGCATCGCCTCGAGGACGTACCTGCTTTTTTCTCCTGCATTGTCAGCTCCTTCCAGTCGGCCTTCATGCGATCCCTCAGGGTCATCCACAGGTCGGCCTGCTCCTGTGGCGGCATGCTCTCCCATCTCTTCTCAATGTCTGCCAACGTCGGGTTGGAGATGGCATGGGCCTTTCGGGTCTGCTGGCAGTTGGCAATGGCCGGCAGTGACGTCCGAGCAGCGAGCACCTGGCGTGACGAGGTGGACGCCGCTCTGAGAATGGCGGTGCGCATCATCTTGTGTGCTTGTGGGAGCGGAGAGTTGGAAGCGTGAAGAGGGGAACCGAACGACGAGGTGGGCAATGCGTGGATGCAGCTCGCAGAGAGGGTTGGGTGTGGGCTTCAATTGATGCGTCGAGGTTTTGGTGGTTCGATGGACCAACGGACGTTGGAGGAAGTTCGCAAAAAGAGGCCAGAGCTCGACCGGCCAATGAGAACGCGGCTGAATCAGCCCAAGCTATAGGCCCCGTCGGGTTATGAGCGACTGGCGACTTGACGCAGTGTGGACGGGCGAAGTGCGGGAGAGCCGTCAATGGTGCAGGTCTAAAGGAAAATCTTGCTTGTGCCAGCACGCGAGCCTGAATATGATCGCCGAGCGTCAAACCTGCGTGTCTGGCGCGACGTCTCGATTCATGTACACGCTCTGCTCTGCGCTGCTCTGCCCTATCCTACCTTCCCGAACCGTACCCAACCCTAACCACCGTGAACAGCGCACGTAAAGACGACGAAGGCGACACCGGACGGGCCAGTGGCCGACTCCTCTTTCTGTTCTGACCATCGCTGTGCCTGCGTACCGATTCTCTCTTCGGGCGTTGATCTCCCATTTCCATTTCCCTTCCGCCGCGCCCCCCCCCGGGACTCTGTCGCGCACTATTCGCCCAAGCGAAGTCAAAGCGACGGCTGAGAATGTTAATGTAGTTTTTGTATCGCGTGAGCTTCACGCTACCTCTCTGTGTTTTCTTTTTTTTTTTTCTTTTCTTTTCTTCCTACTACTCTTCATTTCAACACCAGGGGAGAAAAGTGGCGTTCTTCTTCACTCTCTAACCATGCGAGGTACATAGCGGGTTCAATAGCAGTTATTTATATTGTTTTTCTTTTTGATTCTGTTCGTGAATCCACGGCGTCATGCTACAAATGCGGTTCTGGCGTCACTGTTCGAGAAAGGGAGATGATTATGTCAGTATGACAGCTTTCTTAAGTTGGTCGCTGTCACTGTTGCTACTGCTACTGCGTCAGATACAGCAATCTTACCTGCAATGTACGTATTGCTGGCGTAACGTCCTGTTAGGTGCGCCGTGGGATTCCTGCCCGGCGGTTTCGTTCTGCGCTCTACAACTTAGTTCGAAACCTGTGTTGGAACTGGCCTGTCAGGCCCTTCTATACGCGCTCGACGTGGCGAGAAGACAGTCGTCTGTGGAGCTTCGATACGACGAGCGAACGAGGCCTCGTTCGTAGATTCATTGCTGAAAGTACGGATTAGAAATAAAGCATTCGCAAATCGTCCCTCCTAACAAATGCGCGCACAAGATGTATCTATCGATTGGGTTGCCTTGTGGAACAGACAAACTTGGAGCTTGGAGGGAGACGAAGGCTTTGCGTGGTCATGAGAGCGGGCTGCAACGCCGTCGGCTGCAAAGACGAGAGCGTTGGGCTGGTAGCGCAACGGTTGGAGTCACACGCTGGCAAAAAGGTTTGGATGGCGATTATCTCATCCCGTCTAAACACAGCGCAGTTGAGAAAGGTTGGGACGAACAAATGCCGCACAGCATGGTAGCTTGGCTAGGTCGTAAATTTGGTTATTTTTCTGCTCTCTTCGCTAGACTCTGATAGCAGAGCCGCAGATAGTGACACAGCAAAATGTCGATGGCTGTGTTAATGTGGGCGCAAATGCGTGGTTAGACACGGAGGGACACGACGAGTAGACTAAGGTACAGAGAGGTACCATTGCACATGTGTATATGGGCCGGCACTAGCTAGCGGGAAAGCCATAGGAGCGGAATCGGCTGTTAGGCGGGAATGTCAGGACGACTCTGTACGTAGATGCACAGCAGCAGTAGTCGTAGTAGACGCATATGGAGCAGGGAGCCTGAAGCAGAACCGACGTCAACCGGTGCATGTCAAGGCAAATGAGTTCGCTGACGGAGGTTTCCGGAATATCGAGTTTCACGACGGTGGTCTGGCTAGTAAGAACGGCATGGCGAATGCAACGGTCCTCGGGAAGATTAAGAGGCAGATGTCACTCTTTCGTTTAGCGTGGTGTGCATTTTGCCGGGGAAAGGAGGGCCAGCCTGCTTTAAGTCGGCGCACACAGCGCTCTTTGGACGTCGGTTCAGCACGACAAGGCGAACACGGTCCGTAACATTCCATCGACAGAGTGTTTGTGCGGTAGCTCCGCTTCCACAAACTTCCTGCTCTCGCATTTCCAGCCAGCGTCGATCGACAGATAAAAGAAGCGTGCACGTCCGGGCTTCCAGATATCTGCATCTGAAAGCCTCGTCCGAATCAGCGTCGGTACATGAGTTCACCCACCAGCAGTAGCCTGAGGTAAGCATCCGCTCATCATCACGCGACGTGGCCCATTTCTTTTGTCAGTGCGAGTTGGCTAGCAGCAGCAAATCTGCGCGCGGTTTTTACCTTTCTTTTTTCTCCTGGTCCTGATTGTACCCCACCGCGGGCCCAACGCCGCCGCCGTCGCCGCCGCTGCCTGCCGCTGGAGTGAGGACCAGTAGCAAGGAAGCTCAGCAACGCTCAGCGGCGCTCAGCACAGCGCACGCACAAGTCGTTCCGCCACGCGCCCGGTCAGCGAAAAGAAGACGGCGCACGCTCGGGGAAAGAAAGCACAAAAGAAAAACTCAAGAAGAGGGAGAGGAGGGAGACTGGAAATTACGCAGCCGCAGCCTGGCCAACCAAGCGTCGCAACGGCAGACTCGGGCACGCGTTCACAGGCTCGTCATCAGTTTCGGCGTCCCCTCGCCCGTCCAGCTCAGGCTCAACCCCGCCAACTCCAGCTCCGTCGCTGTTGTCCGCGCCCTTCGTACTCGTCGTGCTCACGCCCACGCCCCCGCTCGCGCACGCTTACGCTTGCACGCACTCAGACGTCCTTCATCCATCCATCGCCTTCGCTCTTGATTATTATTTGCTTGTCTGCACTCCACTGCCAGGCCCAGCGCTTCCTCCCTTGCTTCATCGTCGCTCGTCCTTGGCCGTGTCGTCATAGCAGGCGCTTTCTATTCTCTGCTTTTCTCCCCCAACAAACAAAGCCTTTGCTTAGTTTATAAGACCCCACCCTTCGTCCACATTCCCTTTTTTTCCTCTGCTCGTACACTCACAATCAACAACAGACTCCAACAAATCTCTGGTCAATTAAATCCCGCATCCTCAAAAGGTACGCTGGCGTTCTTTTCCTGGTCTGCCACCATTTCCCCTCCGTCTCTTCACTCACCATGCTTCCTTTCCTCCCATTCGTTCCGTCCACATCCGACTCAACACACCGAGCAATTCAACTGACAATTGTTCTACTGCGCAGAAACCAACAAGATGGCCATCAAGGTGGGCTGATTTTTGATGCCAGTGTGCATTTTCGCACTCTTCGCCCTTCTTCCTCGTTATCGCCCTGCTTCTTCAACCCACTGCGGGGCACGACGCAAAACTCGAGACACCACGCCACCACCACAACTCCCCCCCCCTTCCCACTTTCCCTCAACAAAAATTCACCCGCTTACGAAAACATGCTAGATCGGTATCAACGGCTTCGGTCGTATTGGCAGAATTGTCTTCCGCAATGCGTAAGTTGCTTCCTCTTTTCTGCTATTGTTTTGACCCACAATTGAAAGTGCCTTCGCCCCTCCTTTTTGCCTATGACAGCTCAGAGCTCCACCACAGCTCAGAAGGGAGGGGCCTACGAAGAGCTTTATCGCCCATTGATCGAGCTTGCGAGAGTTGGAGCTAACGCATAGTGTTTGCGTGTTTTTGCAGCGTCGAGAAGGACAACATCGACGTTGTTGCCGTCAATGATCCCTTCATCGACCCCACATACGCTGTACGTCTTTCCCACACCCAAACCATAAGAATCAGCCGGGCGGGAGAAAGGAAGACGCGGAGAAAGTAACATGATTAACAATCTGCGCTACGACAGGTCTACATGCTCAAGTATGACTCCACCCACGGCCGCTTCAAAGGCGAGGTGTCAGTATCCGGGAATGACCTGACGGTCAACGGCAAGAAGATCCGCTTCTACCAGGAGCGCGACCCTGGCTCCATCCCGTGGTCCGAGACTGGCGCCTACTACGTTGTTGAATCGACTGGTGTATTCACGACCACGGAGAAGGCCAAGGCCCATCTCAAGGGTGGCGCCAAGAAGGTCGTCATCTCCGCCCCCTCGGCCGACGCACCTATGTTCGTGATGGGCGTAAACAACAAGACCTACGACCCCTCCATCGACGTTGTGTCTAACGCGTCGTGCACGACCAACTGCCTGGCTCCCCTTGCCAAGGTCATTCACGACAAATACACCATCATCGAGGGTCTTATGACGACCATTCACTCCTACACCGCCACGCAAAAGACAGTCGACGGCCCTTCCGCTAAGGACTGGCGCGGTGGCCGTACGGCAGCGCAGAACATCATCCCCTCGTCCACAGGTGCTGCCAAGGCTGTTGGAAAGGTGATCCCAGACCTCAATGGTAAACTGACCGGCATGTCGATGCGCGTCCCCACCTCCAATGTCTCCGTCGTCGACCTCACTTGTCGCATCGAGAAGGGCGCAACCTATGACGAGATCAAGGAGACGATCAAGGCCGCAGCTGATGGCGAGCTTAAGGGCATCCTCGCCTACACCGAGGACGAAGTCGTGTCTTCGGACATGAATGGTGACCCACACTCCTCCATCTTCGATGCCAAGGCCGGTATCTCGCTCAACAAGAACTTCGTCAAGCTCGTTTCCTGGTACGACAACGAGTGGGGCTACTCTCGCCGTGTGCTCGACCTTCTTGGTACGTTGTTTTGCCACTTATACCTTTCCCAGTGTGGATGCCATACTAACATGTAGAGCGAATTAGCCTACATGGCCGCCGTTGACGGCAACGCGTAAACGAATTCGCCACGAAACGCCAGACCATCCGGACCATCCATCTGACATGCCTATCCTCCAAACTCGGAATAAAGATGGCGAACCGTGCGTTAGATGGAGCACCTGTTCAATGTGTCTGTCGGCGAAACGGAAGTGGAGGCGCAGGCCTCGTAAAGCTTATAACACATCAAATCACAAGGTGCACAAAGTTTTTCAAGCGAAAGATCGGTCATTTCGATGTCGCAGACGCGGATGTGGGACGCTAGACGAGTTTCTGTCACGGTAGAGAAAACTTGGAGGGGTTTTGCATCTAAAATCACAATCCAAATACATATAAAAACAAATGAAGTTCCCCTCAGCAGCATGACTTCTCTGTCTTCCGTCCATTCGTGTTTCCACTTGTACTCTATCTCCACTTCTGCACCGCTCGTAGGCGAGCTCGAAATCACTGGCTCAGCTTGTTACCCCCATGAAAGCGATTGCCCCCGATCCGTCCGTCCAGCCCACAAGGCGGACTAGTCTTACTGCGCAGCCCTTTCGATGCGGTCGCCCCCGACTAAAAATCCCTCCCTCTCGACGTCACTAAAAAAGACCGTGCCGAAAAGCTCTAGAGCTCTAGCCAAGAAAAGAGTTGGGACTGTAGACAACGACGAGTGCTTTAAAATCGTAAAAACGGTTCGCAAATGCGTTCCTTGTCCCCCCTGACGAAGTTTGACTTTGTCGGCCTCCGCAGCAGGCTGCCATGCATGTCGTTGTTCACGTGTTCACGCTCTCCCCGCTTCCCCTTTGAGAGTTCTCTCGTCGACCGGCTCACTTTTATCATGCTGGTCGACGTTATTGTCGTCGTCGTCCTCGTGATTCTACCAGCTGATCCGGCCTTTTGACCAGCGCGCAGCGAAAAACGCACCGCGTCCAGGCCGTCGACACGGGCACGAAACTCGTAGGGTTGGACACCAGCTGCGCACACCGTTCTAACTCCAGATTTAGAAAATATTAATTAAATATCTAAGCTAAAATCTAACGTCTAGTACATGTACGGGCAGTATACTCAAGTAATTCACATAAGCTGCATCATGATAGAGCACGCGTTTTTGCCCACGGATCTATCGTACGACCAACACCTTGCTATACTTCAACTTAGATCTGCTCCTCTATCGAATATTCATACACTCTATTTTGACCCTCATTTACAGTTAAAGTATTGCTAGTTTAAATCCTCGTATGACGCACTGCTCGCTTACGTTTTTGACGCGCGTTTTCGACGTGTAATACGGCGTTCTCAACCTGCAGTATAGCCCGTTCATGTATGACAGTCTCAAAGCCTTTTAATAGCTGTTGAAAGGCAGAATCAGATAGTGAATAAGTGGTATTTGTACGGCACCGACACTGCTCTTGAATATGCTGTGCTTGACGCTTCACCTCCTTCATCATACGACGTGTTTTTGACTCCCAGACTGACTCCTCTGTAGGAACAGGGCTGGGCGTTCGTACGACTGGATTGAGGGTTGAAAGAACGCGATCTGAGTTATATGGGATAAGACCAGTTGCAGCAAATCCATTTCAGATATTCTTCTCGGTAATTGCTTATACGTGAGCCGGATAGTATAGCTGTAGGAACTCCTCTTTATCAATATGATTATGCCAAGCCTCATCTTACCTTCAACTTGCTTGCCGTACGACACCTTTAATGGACTGAAACAGCCTACATCTAACAGCTAAAGGATATAAGAGGAATAGGCAGGCATACAGGCTGTAATAATCTAGTTTTGCCTACAAAACTCCTCAAATTGAGCTGAATGATAGCTCCCATACCCATCTAGTATAAGTAAGTGGTATTGGCCTTTCGTACGACTCTATGTGTGCTTTTGGAAGTGCTGGATCCACTCAAAGCCGATCTCATTTTCCGTCCACCCTTTCTCACTAACAGAGGTTGCCCAGTCGGACGGTAGATTTCCCTCTGTATACCAAGTGCCTTGGTGGATCTTTGCCGCGAGGATAATGTGGCCTGGGATTGACCAACCCTGCGAATTGATGCTGTGTACGGCAGTAACCCATTCTCGATTACCTGGCTGTTTTGTGTTCGGACGACCCTTCCTCTCAGCTCTTATAACTACTTTTGAAGTTGAGATAACCCCTATTTGGAAGCCTATCTCATCAAAGTTGTAGATATCCTCCTCAAGTATACTGTACTTCGCGATTAGGTTTCGTACGAGGCTGAACCAGCCTTGAATAAGGACTGGATCCTCACATTACGCGCGCTGGTAATCATACTTTCGATTATATATCGTACGAAGCGATTCGTGTCGATTGACAAAGTTGGTAACCCAATTCTTGCCGACTGTTTCTGGGGGTGACGCGTCGCGGTTCGCGAGAAGGATATTCGCGATTTCTCATACAATAGCTGTTCCCAGAGGAAATCCTTGGTCGTCAAGATCAAGGATATGTTGAAGAAGGACCTCTTCCTTAATAGGAGTCAGCTTTTAAGTCGTACAATGTAAATCGCGTCGAGGTAGTATACCACGATGTCGTCGAATCAAGGTATCTTTAGGAACATCATACGCACGCGCTGCAGCTCGTAAACTTTGAAATTGACCTTATAAAAATGCCTGAAGAGCTAAAGAAATACGACCCTCTTTTTCTATATTATACGAGGGTCGCATTATTATGAAAAAAAATTAATAAGTACAAGGATATATAACGCGTCTGTAAGGTGTCCACTAGCTTGTGAATCACGTTAACGTGATTCACAAGCTAGTCGATCACCATGCCCACCTTGAAATCTTTTAACGAGGATATTATCGTCCAACAATAAAATGTTAATTAATTAACTATCTAAGCTGAAATCTAACGTTTAGAACATGTACGAGCAGTATGCTCAATTGATCCACAAAGGCTGCATGTTCGTGGAGCACGTGATTTTGGCACTGAATCTATCGCAACGAGCAACAACTTGCTGTGCTTCGATTTGAATTTGCCTCTTACTTTGACTCTCAAACACCTTATCTTGACCCTCATTTATAGCTAAAGAACCTCCAATTTGAACTCTCGTACGACGGACTGCTCGTTTACGTTTTTGACGCGCATTTTCGACGCGTAATACAGCTACTTCAACTTGTAAAATAGCCCATTCATGTATAGTAGTCTCAAAGCCTTTCAATAGCTGATGGAAAGCAGAATTAGAGAGTGAATGAAAGGTATTTATACGGCGCCGACATTGCTCTTGGATATACTGTGCCTGGTGCTTCATCTCCTTCATTTTATGAGGCGTTTTTGACTCCCATACTGACTCTTCTGTAGGAACAGGACTCGGCGTTCGTACGACTGGATTCAGCATTGAAAGAACGCGATCTGGATTATATTAGATGAGGCCAGTAGCAGCAAATCCACTGCGGATATTCTTCTCAGTAATTCCTTGTACGTGAGCTGGGTGGTATAGCTGCAGGAACTCATCTTTATCAATATGGTTGATGCCAAGCCTCATTTTGCCTTCCACTTGCTTACCGTACGATACTTTTAATGGGCCAAAACAGCTCACATCCAATGGCTGAAGGATGTGGGAGGAGTGGGCTGGCATGTAGGCTGTAATAATCTGATTTTGCTTACAAAACTCCTTAAATTGAGCTGAATAATGGCTTCCATGCCCGTCCAGTACGAGCAGTCGGTATTGGCCTTTCGTACAACTCTGTGGTTGCTTTTGGAAGTGCTGAACCCTTTCAAATCCAATCTCATCATCTGTCCATCCTTTCTCACTTACAGAGATAACCCAATTGTACGGTAGGTTACTTTCTGCGTACCAGCTGCTTTGATGAACCTTTGCTGCGAGGATCACGTACGGCGGGATTGACCAGCCTTATGAATTGATGCCATATACGACAGTGACCCATTCTCAATTGCCTGGTTGTTTGGTCCTTGGACGACCCTTTCTCTCTGCTCTTGTAATCACTTTTGAAGTTGAGATCACCCCCATTTGGAAGCCAGTCTCGTCAAAGTTATAAATATCCTCCTTAAGTATGCCGTACTTCGCAATCAGGTTTCTTACGAGGTTGAACCACCCCTGGATGAGGACTGGATCCTCACATTGCGCGCGCTGATAATCATACTTTTGATTATATATTGTATGAAGTAATTCGTGTCGCCCAGTTCTTGCCGACTGTTTGTGGGGGTGACGCGTCGCGGTTCGCGAGGATGATATTCGCGATTTCTCGTACGATAGCTATTTTTGGTGAAAATCCTTGATTATCAAGATTAAAGATACGTTGAAGAAGAACTTCCTCTTCAAGAGGAGTTAATTTTTGAGTCGTACGATGCGAATCGCCGCGAGGAAGCTTATTATGGTAACGATCGTATAGAGTAGTATATGGAACGTCGTACGCACGAGCTGCAGCTCGTAAACTTTATATTTGATCTTGGAAAAATGCCTGAAGGGCTAAAGAAATACAACCTTCTTTTTGTAGGTCGTACGAGGATCGCATTATTATGAAAAATATTAATAAGTATAAAAATATGCGATGCGTGAGCACGGTGATCGACTAGGTTGGGTAATCGACTAGCTTGTGAATCACGTTAAATAAAAAAAAGAAAAAGAAGAAGCAATTGCGCCACCCCCCCCTCTCTTTCTTCTCTAGGCCCTCTCCCCATATCAAACGCGTTAGGAGGGCCCGGATTGCACCCTTCCCGTGCTCGAACTGTTGTTCCCCCTAACGTAATTCACCAAGTCGCGCAGCATAACAGCCATCAAGAACTTTAATGACATATAGAGCAACCATTAAATAATATACTAGTGATCTATCCTATATTTCATATATTCTGAAGCTAGATGATCATATCTACGACAAATATAACATGTAATTTGCGGTGTTGCAGCTGTAACTGGCGCTTCACGTGATTCTTGAGCCTCCTCAACCACTGCTGCTGCCTCGCTATTTTCAGTATTCTGAGACTGTTAAATGAGCTGAGTAGCCTGAGCAACAGTTAAGCTGGTAGCCCTGCTTATCTGTCGTCTTTTTAATTGCCTCTTTTTTTTCTGTCGTTCATTGGCAGCCCTTAATCTCTCATTCTCTGCAGTAAGTAGGACTGTATCTTATACGGATAGCTCACAGCCTTTTTATCAGTTGTTGTATTGCCCGATTAGTTGGTGTAGGTGGACTATGTGATAGTCTCTTGAGTAGATCTTGGACTGCTCCTTTATGCTGGTATAGCTGAGTAAGACTATGAGGAGTCTTAGGTATATATTGCTGACTCTCTGTAGGTGGAGGCTGAGATGGTGTGTGTTAGGAATACTTTCCCAATGCCGACTGGCTTCACTAATGTAAACCACTTCGGAAGGGTTTAGCTAGGGTGCCCCACGGTAGCAGTATATACCGTACCGTACTGTTCGGTACGGTATATGGTACGGTAAACGGTACGGTATCACCATACCAGATACTGTCAATGTCTGTGCGGAAGATCACGGGAACGATGAATGGTGCATAAGTAAGATCGTAAACCTGCTTAGTTCATTGTATGCTGTCTTGACTGATGGATTGTCAGGTCGTTCTCCTGTCCCCTACCCCTGGCTCTCCTCTCTTATTTAGCCAGCGTTTGCTTATGTCACGTGATACTTGGTATGTGCTTAGGCTGACAACGGTATGGCTGCTGAGATTTGTCCTACAGGATTTGAGATTTGCCCTACAAATGAGATTTGTCCTACACGCTACTTGTAAAATAAAATAATCGCCTAATAAAGCCTAGTAAACTCATTCTGCCGTAATACCAGCGCGACGCGTCTATAAATTATAAACTTCAATATTCTTATAGTAGCTATAATGGATGGAATCTGTGCGCCTTCAGACAATCTTTATGCCTCCTATAATGAGGCTTACAATGCGCTAAAGAGCCATGGTATACAGCATGGCTACGGCTTTGTACTCAAGCTGAGTAGACCCACTCATTCCAACACCAAGACGCGATACTACTACCACTGCGATCGATTTAAAAAGTACCAATCAACAGCAACAACTTTTAGTATAAGTACGCGCTCAATAGGATGTCCTTTTAGGCTCACTATCTTCAAAACAAATGACGACCAATGGAAGCTAGAGGTTCTAGAAAGGCACCATAACCATGCTCCAATCGCTCAATCCCACCGCGCATAACATCTATCGTAAGCGTACACAAGGACAAAAAGATACAACCAAGGCAATGACACATGCTGGTGTTAGACCAATGCAGATTATGGCTGCGCTTCAAAAGGAGGATCCAGATACACTAGTCTCAGCGACCGACATCCGCAGTGAGGGAAAGGCAATCAGAGAGAAGCACCTAAATGGAAGGAGCCCAATCGAGACACTACTGGATGACCTATCTACATCAGATTGGGTCTTTACTCTCAAGAGGGATTCAGATAACCATGTGCAATGCCTCTTCTTTACGCATCAGAAGCAGATTGAGCTCCTACTTGCAAACCCGGATGTCCTTCTGATGGAGAAACCCCCTCAGAGGAGGAGAGTCCCCTGCGAAGCTTCGAGTCTACATCAAGCTCTTCAGAAGAAGATATTGACGCACAAATTGAGGCATTCCGAGCAGAAAATGCGAGGCTCGAAAAGGTTAAAGAGTTGAAGCGACTCTAGACCTTGAACCAAGCGCTGCGAAGTAGTGTCGAGTCCGAAATCCAAAACCATGCCTCCAGCAACCCCCCCATACTAAATGAGATTACGCTCGCCAAGCTCACCGACTTTCAGCCTAAGGAGCTACCTGAGTACTATGGTAAGAACACACGAGAACATCGAGAGTGGTTCCAGGCCGCAGAGAATGCGTTTCGCCTGGCACCTCGCAGGTTCTGGAATGATACTATCAAGGTAGCATGCTGCGCCCAGTCACTTCGCGGTACACCGGCGAGGAGCTGGAACAACCATGTCGAGGTGCACCCAGAGTTCGCGTCTTCATGGGAGAAGTATAAGACTTTTCTCCTAGACCTCATCGAGGCGCCGGAGAGTCGCGAGCTACACGTAGCATTGGCGTATCAACATGCGGAACAGAAGCCAGGGCAGACGACCCAGCAGTTCTACCAATACCTCCTTAGCCTCGAGCGTCAAATCAATGAGGACTTCTCTGAGAATCAGCGAAGGTTTCACCTGCTGGCTCGCCTGCGCCCCGAACTGAGAGAGCAGCTGAACTACTACCAAGATATGCCTAAGATCTGTGACGCTATCGTCGCACTGGCGACACGTATAGAAGGCCTAGGCAAGAAGAGGATTGGAGCGGCTACCGACAAGGAAGCCAGTGGGAAAATCCGAAAATTGAATTCAAGTAACACCTATGACACTGAATCGACATCAGAACACCACAAGATCGGAGGCTACGCGCAAGAGTCCTCTCAGGCACGGACCCCAGAGCATAGCCGACCCTCATGCTTCATATGCAAGACACCAGGACACTTAGCACGAGACTGTCGTAAGGCAAGTCCAACCAAGCCAGGTGCATCGCCGGGTAACCCGCTGGGAAAAGACCAGGGGGCGTCTTCGGACCCACAGAAGGCGCCCTAATCCAAACCATTGTGGGTACGACGGAGCGACTACGAGGAGACGTCGTGAAGCGCAAGGCATTACGTACCTCGGGTGCCCTTATCCTTCCAGATGGCGAAATGGTCGTCGAGACCACGTTAGACACAGGGGCAGAGTTGAATGTTATCGACCCTAAGCTTGCAATGCAACTACGACTCCCTACCGCAGATATAGCGCTACCTAAGGGTCCTGCACGGGGAAGCGGAGAACGTGCATATTGTTATGGAGCCTACTTGGTAAGTTGGGAAGCAACCGACTCACGAGGACGACGGAGACGAGGCACGCATGTGGCGTACGGTCTAGAGCACGTCGGATCCCCCTTGATACTAGGTATGCCGGGCCTCCATGACCAAAAGATCGTATGTGACCCAGAGCAAGGGTCATGGCACTTCAAAAGCGAAGGGCCCACGATCAATCTGATTCGAGAAGACGAAGTCGAAGAGCATGCGCGGGAGAGCGAGTACATCCTTGTGGTATATGAAAACTCCTTCCTCACGGAGGACGAGGAGGACGAGGATGAAACACAATCAACTCCCATGCTACCCACAACCTATACGGAATACGCAGACGTCTTTGACGAAGAAGCCGCGGTAGCACAACCAACTCACCCAGAAGCAGAGCATGCAATCGAAACAACATCGACACCGCCCTACGGTCCCATATACCCGTAGAGCGCGCGTGAATTAGAAGAACTAAGGCGATACATCGTCGAGGCGAAGGCGAATGGCTGGATCCGCGATAGCACCAGCCCGGCAGGCTCTCCCATCCTCTTCGTACCTAAGGCTGATGGGAGCCTGCGCCTCTGCGTCGACTATCGAGGGCTGAACCGAGTCACGGTCAAGAATCGTCACCCCTTACCACTGATCTCCGAAATCATAGACCGTCTCAGTGGCGCAAAAGTATTTACGAAATTGGACCTGAAGTGGGCATACCATCGCATTCGCATTAGACGAGGCGATGAATGGAAGACGGCGTTTCGCACGCGCTACGGACACTACGAGTACCTAGTGATGCCGTTCGGGTTAGCTAATGCACCAGCAACCTCCCAGGCTTTCATCAATAAGGCCTTAGAGGGCTTGGTGGATACCATTTGCATTATCTACCTTGATGATATCATTATCTACTCAGCAGACCCTAGCGAGCACGAGGCGCATGTAAAGATGGTGCTAGATCGCTTACGAACCTACAGGCTATACTGCAATTTGAAGAAGTGCTCGTTCGCTCAAAAGAAATGCACCTTCTTGTGGTATATCATCAGCCCCAACGGGGTGGAGATGGATCCTCGCAAGGTGGACGCCATAATCTCATGGCCCAGCCCTAAGTCGTACCCGGAGCTGCAGACCTTTCTCGGGTTTTGTAACTTCTATCGACGGTTCATCTACGGGTACTCGAAGCTGACTACACCACTTACTAACCTCCTCAAAGGAAGTGTGAACGGTCGGAAAGAGGGTCCTTTCATTTGGGATAGCTAGGAGGAGGAGGCGTTTCGCAAGCTTATCAAGGCCTTCACCATAGCCCTAGCGTTTGCTCATTTCGACCCAGCGAGACGCATCCGTGTCGAAACAGACGCATCCGCGTTTGCGGCAAGCGCAGTACTATAACAGTTGAATGAAGAGACAGGGATATGGCATCCTGTGGCCTTTTGGTCGCGGAAGCTCACACCGGCTGAGCGAAACTACATGACACACGATCAAGAGTTGCTCGCAATTGTGGCGGCATTTAGGCACTGGCGACACTACCTTGAAGGTAACGCACACCCGATCGAGGTGATCACTGATCATCAAAACCTCACGGGCTTCGCCAGGGTCAAGCAGCTGAACGGCCGACAAGCCAGATGGGCTATGGCTCTATCAGCATACGACTTCACGATTTCGCACCGTGCGGGTAAACTTAACCCTGCCGATGCGCCGTCGAGGAGACCAGACTACAATGATGCGGAAAAAGCCGCAAATCTGATGTTACCAACATTGTTCACAAAATTGGCCATAGAGCCAGAGAGAACTGTCGTGGGCGCCCTATTGGCACGGTCTACAAGCGCTACGTAAAGGCGAGCCGCCGGCACAATAGATCTACAGAGTTTCCTTCTACCAGTTAGTACTGGGGGAGATGACCTGCAAAGTGCGGGTAGGGAGCCAATGATGCTCCGGAGCGACGTCAGAGAGGCGTTAGCTCAAGAAAATGCATATACTATGAGTACCAACTCAACAAGAAGATTAGTCGCTGAAGCACAAGCCCAGAGCGCCGAAGCGCAAGAATTGCGCCGGCAAATTGAAAAGGGCGAAGCGACGAAGCGCTGGGCGCTGAAGGATGATCTGATCATGCACTCGGATCGCTTGTTCGTGCCTCCAGTACGCGTATTGCGAGATGAGCTATTGAGAAGGCATCATGATGATCCCTACGCAGGCCATTTTGGAGTATTGCGGACGGCCGAGCTGCTTAGACGCAAGTACTACTGGCAGCGTATGGGTGAAGACGTCGGCACGTACGTACGAAGCTGCGACGTGTGTCAGAAGACAAAAGTTAAGCGGCATAAGCCCTACGGGGTAATGCAAACACTTCCAATACCAAAGAGACCATGGAAAGAAATTGCTCTTGATTTCATGAGCGGCATACCCATTAGCATGCGAGGCGGCGTCGCCTATGATGCAATACTTGTGGTCGTATGCAGGTTTTCAAAAATGGCATTGTATTTTGCAGTCCAAAAGTCAATTACTGCCCCTGAGGTTGCAGACCTGCTCATATACCTAGTTTTTGCAAGATTTGGCTTTCCAGGAGGCATTGTATCTGACAGAGATCCCAGGTTCACATCCGAATTTTGGTCGGAACTCTGCTACTACGCGAAAGTGATGACTAAGCACAGCCTTTCACCCACAAACAGACGGTCAAACAGAAAGGCAAAACCAAACACTACAAGAATATCTGAGAGCATTCGGCGCAATGTGCCAAACAGAGTGGGCAAAGCGCCTGTGTATCGCTGAGTTTGCGTACAATAATTCCTATCGAGCAGATTTGAAGTGCTCACCATTTCACGCAGTCTATGGGTATGATCCCGACATGGACCTGGACACTGAGGACAGTGCCTATAAGGAGAGGGTGCCAGCAGCGAAAGAAAGGATATAGGGTATAATTGAATTACGCAAATCACTGCAATAATACCTACGAGACGCCTCTGAAAAGCAGGCGAAGTATTACAATAAGAACCACCAACCTAAAGAATTCTGAAAAAATGACTTGGTGCTAATTTCCACGAAGAATCTTCGCACGCGAGACGCAAGTAAGAAGCTGGCGCAGCAATTCATGGGTCCTTTTCGAGTGGACGAACCCATTGGTAGTCAAGCCTATAGAGTACATCTACCAATAAACTCCAAGATACATAACGTATTCCATGTCTCTGTGATGGAGCCTTACCATCGCCGCAAAGGCGAACAGGACATCCTACCACCGCCAGAACTGGAGGATGAAGATGAGTATGAAGTGGAAGAAATCCTCGATGAACAGCGACGGCAAGGCGCCTTCTGGTACAAGGTGAGGTGGAAAGGCTGGCCAGAAGAGTATGATCAATGGCTACCACAAGAGAATCTCGAAAACGCACAAGAACTATTACGACAGTTTAAGCAAAAAAGAGCACAGGCAAATACAAACCGCAGACGACGCGGAGGCGAGCCACGCAAGAGGAGCACCCGCATAAAATAAAATAATTAATCCATTACTACTGATAGTACTGCTATAAGGACACCTAGAAATCCGGGTAATTCAGAAGGCAGAAGGCTCAGATCTGAGAAGATACATCCAAGCTCAAGACGAAGTGAATGGAAGAGAGCGTTGATGCGAAATCAAGGCGTACCAACTCAAGTGGCGAGGACGCCACTTTGGGGAGGGGAAGGCAATTGTCACGTACGGGGTGATCACGGCGTGGCACAGGCGCCACGACAGCACAGGGATCACGAGAACAACACATACTTGCAGACACCTCGAGCTTGGCAATGTATAGCTGGTGTGGTATTAAGGCACACGTGACTACTTCGTACACATATATTTAAGGCAGTTCAGAGGAGAGACTCTCAGGAGCTAGCGGATATTCTTGAATCAAACTATCTATCTCACACTTCTATCACCAATCCCTTACAGTACGTACCGGACAAACAAGTATAAGCTCCCACTGTTACATATACTTGGCTGTACCAACCTACAGACCTTCTCTGCAGGCTTCTGCTTCCTTCACAACGAGACGGAGTTGGACTATCATTAGGCAATCTCAAACTTTATTCTTAAGACAGGAGCACTACAGCCACGCGTATTCATCAGCGACCAGGAAGAGGCACTAAAGCTTGCGGCCATTAGTCAATTTCCAGGGGTCCCACAGCTCCTCTGCGTGTGGCATATTAATAAGAATGTGCAGACAAAAGCTCAGCAGACCCGGCAAGATGCTGAAGGTACAACAAAAGAGGAAAAGCAGGCGATCTCAGCACAACGAACTCAATTCATGAAGCGCTGGAATCAGGTGCAGCCTCTACTGATAGCCTTAAAGCTGTTTATATTAACTAGAGTAGGTCGTCTTTGCAAAGCAGCCACTCACAATTCACACTCAAATGGAATGAGCTACTCAGAGACTATGCTGATCAGCGAGAACTTTGCGAATACCTGACTAATAACCAATGGAATACACGTCATCAATGGGCAGCTGCTTGGACGTCTCAGTACCGGCACTATATGACAATTACAAGCTCTCCTATCGAAGGAATGCATAAAGTCCTAAAGGACTACCTTATGACTTCACAGGGTGACCTCCTACATGTTGTTGGGAGAATCGAGCAGATGGTTCAGTGCCAGTATAACAAGTATAGGAAGGAAATTGCTTCTGCAAAGCATAGCCTCAAGTTCAAGCATAGCCTAGAGGCTATGCCATTCCTACCTCCTAGGATCCATAAGGTTATTACGCCACCAGCAATCGACCACATTAGAGAACAAGATCTACTTCGCCAAAAGGAAACAAAACCACGTCAAGGCGGGTATTCTTGTTCTGGCCTCGTTCAGAAGACGAACGGTCTTCCTTGCCATCATATAATACAAATTATAATACTGTAAGGGATGGGTGATAGAAGTGTGAGATAGTTTGATTTAAGAATATCCGCTAGCTCCTGAGAGTCTCTCCTCTGAGCTGCCTTAAATACATAGGTGCAAAGTAGTCACGTGTACCTTACTACCGCACCGGCTATACATTGTCAAGCTCAAGGTGTCTGTAAACGCTATGCGTTGTCAAGCTCGAGGTGTCTGCAAGTATGTGTTGTTCTCGTGATCCCTGTGCTGTCGTGGCGCCTGTGCCACGCCGTGATCACCCCGTACGTGACAATTGCCTTCCCCTCCCCAAAGTGGCGTCCTCGCCACTTGAGTTGGTACGCCTTGATTTCGCATCAACGCTCTCTTCCATTCACTTCGTCTTGAGCTTGGATGTATCTTCTCAGATCTGAGCCTTCTGCCTTCTGAATTACCCGGATTTCTAGGTGTCCTTATAGCAGTACTATCAGTAGTAATGGATTAATTATTTTATTTTATGCGGGTGCTCCTCTTGCGTGGCTCGCCTCCGCGTCGTCTGCGGTTTGTATTTGCCTGTGCTCTTTTTTGCTTAAACTGTCGTAATAGTTCTTGTGCGTTTTCGAGATTCTCTTGTGGTAGCCATTGATCATACTCTTCTGGCCAGCCTTTCCACCTCACCTTGTACCAGAAGGCGCCTTGCCGTCGCTGTTCATCGAGGATTTCTTCCACTTCATACTCATCTTCATCCTCCAGTTCTGGCGGTGGTAGGATGTCCTGTTCGCCTTTGCGGCGATGGTAAGGCTCCATCACAGAGACATGGAATACGTTATGTATCTTGGAGTTTATTGGTAGATGTACTCTATAGGCTTGACTACCAATGGGTTCGTCCACTCGAAAAGGACCCATGAATTGCTGCGCCAGCTTCTTACTTGCGTCTCGCGTGCGAAGATTCTTCGTGGAAATTAGCACCAAGTCATTTTTTCAGAATTCTTTAGGTTGGTGGTTCTTATTGTAATACTTCGCCTGCTTTTCAGAGGCGTCTCGTAGGTATTATTGCAGTGATTTGCGTAATTCAATTATACCCTATATCCTTTCTTTCGCTGCTGGCACCCTCTCCTTATAGGCACTGTCCTCAGTGTCCAGGTCCATGTCGGGATCATACCCATAGACTGCGTGAAATGGTGAGCACTTCAAATCTGCTCGATAGGAATTATTGTACGCAAACTCAGCGATACACAGGCGCTTTGCCCACTCTGTTTGGCACATTGCGCCGAATGCTCTCAGATATTCTTGTAGTGTTTGGTTTTGCCTTTCTGTTTGACCGTCTGTTTGTGGGTGAAAGGCTGTGCTTAGTCATCACTTTCGCGTAGTAGCAGAGTTCCGACCAAAATTCGGATGTGAACCTGGGATCTCTGTCAGATACAATGCCTCCTGGAAAGCCAAATCTTGCAAAAACTAGGTATATGAGCAGGTCTGCAACCTCAGGGGCAGTAATTGACTTTTGGACTGCAAAATACAATGCCATTTTTGAAAACCTGCATACGACCACAAGTATTGCATCATAGGCGACGCCGCCTCGCATGCTAATGGGTATGCCGCTCATGAAATCAAGAGCAATTTCTTTCCATGGTCTCTTTGGTATTGGAAGTGTTTGCATTACCCCGTAGGGCTTATGCCGCTTAACTTTTGTCTTCTGACACACGTCGCAGCTTCGTACGTACGTGCCGACGTCTTCACCCATACGCTGCCAGTAGTACTTGCGTCTAAGCAGCTCGGCCGTCCGCAATACTCCAAAATGGCCTGCGTAGGGATCATCATGATGCCTTCTCAATAGCTCATCTCGCAATACGCGTACTGGAGGCACGAACAAGCGATCCGAGTGCATGATCAGATCATCCTTCAGCGCCCAGCGCTTCGTCGCTTCGCCCTTTTCAATTTGCCGGCGCAATTCTTGCGCTTCGGCGCTCTGGGCTTGTGCTTCAGCGACTAATCTTCTTGTTGAGTTGGTACTCATAGTATATGCATTTTCTTGAGCTAACGCCTCTCTGACGTCGCTCCGGAGCATCATTGGCTCCCTACCCGCACTTTGCAGGTCATCTCCCCCAGTACTAACTGGTAGAAGGAAACTCTGTAGATCTATTGTGCCGGCGGCTCGCCTTTACGTAGCGCTTGTAGACCGTGCCAATAGGGCGCCCACGACAGTTCTCTCTGGCTCTAT